GATAATAAGACTTTATGGCTGTTCAAACAATTAACATGCAAGTCTGAAGTCCAAAGACACATGGGCTGATGAAGAAAAAACTAATATAAACCTTAATAATGTATGATTTGTCATCTTTTATGGTCACTCCAATGCCTGGACAGGTTTACGTCAAGAATTTAGAATTGATTTAATTGAATAAATGAACTATTTTAGGTTTTGTTGGAACTTTATGTTGGTAACAATTCGTTTTTACCTGAAAAATCCAAGTAGGCCAAGTCTGTACTGAATCACAACCACAACTACATCCTGATAGGCAGCCAAAACATGTCCGTCAAACAGTGACGCAGCAGCCATCGACAAACCTCCACCATGGATCCAAACCATGACCTTTTGCACCATTAAAAACAACATTAAAATGCATCCATAAAAATGCAACAAAGTTCATCCAAATCAGTCACACTTACAGGCAACTTGTCATTTGCTCCAGGTTTAGAAGGTGTGTAGACGTTGAGGTAAAGACAGTCCTCTGATGAGTCAGGAACCTCTATGTTCATTGATATATTGGCTACCAAGTCTTCAACTATCTGCTTTTCCTGCAGACACCTGGGACAGACACAGAGGAACAATGTAAAAGCTAGGTGTTGAAGCGAAACGGCTGATCTACAGCTGCATTAGTTTGGTTTTATTCTCACATGAAGGGCTGTTTTGTAGCGTCTCTCACTCCGGCCCATTTCTCTGCAGGCTGTGGAGGAGAAAATCTCAAAGGACCTACGGGCGGCTTGGCGAACGGAACACCCAGGTAGGAATGGACAACTGTGTCCTTTCCCTTCGCTTTCACATATTCACCTTTCAGGGCCCCAAACTTGGTTTGCAAGACAGGTCCTGTGTAATTCATAAAAAAAGTGATATTCACAGTATGATTTGCTATTCATTTTCAGTTAAACCGGCATAGAAATTGAAAACAAAAGAAGCAATTGGTTGTCCTTCAAATTTCAGTGTAGACTTTGAATATTTACATTTTATGACAATTCGCATACTTAAAATAATATTAACATTAGCAGTAATATTAGAAAATATATTGTCTAACCTTAAGAATTTGCATAATATATATTTATACAACAGTTCTTTCTGGTTCTCGAATCTGATTGACAGAGCCTTTTCCTGCGTTGCTATATTCTAGTGATATCGGAACTCC